TCTCTCTCTCTCTCTCTCTCTCTCTCTCTCTCTCTCTCTCTCTCTCTCTCTCTCTCTCTCTCTCTCTCTCTCTCTCTTTGTGTGTGTGTGTGTCCGGTACTAACCTGTGAAGGTGGCGCCTTGTTGCAGGTACATCGAAGATGTAGCTGGAGCTATGGTGCCACATGTAAGTCTCCCTGGCCTCCGCCCTCTCTCTCTCTCTCCAACACTACTCTAGCTCCTAATAGCGCCCAGCGCTGAAGACTACTCCTAACGCTACTACTACTGCAGCGCTCCTCGAGAGTGCTGCTGCTGAAATCCTGAAGACTGCCTCCTGCCTCCTGCACGTGAAGTGCCCGTGAACTGCCTGTGAAGTGCAGGGCGGACCAGTACTATATAGTGCTGTTCGGGCCTGGGAGGCTGCTCTTGCCCATGCCGAATCGTGCCAGTCCCTGGGGTTGAAGTTCAAACAAAGGTTGTCTTGAAACAGGCCCAAAAATGGCCTGTGCTAAAACCCTGGTCTGGTGCCTAAGTTTCAGGGCAGGTCGACCTTATGAGGGCCTGAAAATGGCCCTCCGTTTCAGGCTGAAAAGACTCAGGGCCTGGAGGGCCCTTTTTTAGGCTGAAACGACCCTGAAAGGCTCTTATTTTCCATCTGGTCGGGCCCTACAGGCCCGTGTGGCTGCGCAGTATGCCACAAGTAGCCAGGAAGATGATCCAGCGAGTAGGTGAGTGGGCAGCCAACCAAGAAAGCAAGGAGATAAGACAAACAGGCAAGCAGATCAGAAACATATGGCAAGCAGATGGGCAAGGCAACACAGCCGCAGTTAATCTGAAGACGGGGGAAGGGCAGAAGGGGGGGGGCAGGCAGGCGAGAGGGCACGTACACAAGGCAAGGGGGCAAGCAGCAGAGCAACACAAGGCAAGTCGACGAACAGCCAGGCAGAGGGGCAGCACTGACATGGTAGTTGCCACATCCAGCAAGGACCAACCAGATCATCACCTACCCACAGGTCCCACACCACACGCAGAACTCTGCAGACTGTAGGTTCACACCAGCATCCGAGTCATGGAGTCACTTTGACGAATGCCTGTCATCACAGTTGAGCACAGACACTTGGTCATCCTAAACACAGTAGCCACCCTACTACGGCTGCAGGCACTTCTAACAAACAGGCACTAACTATTTGGCAAATCCCAAAGATGTTGTGCTAAGACAAGGAAAATACTTAGAACGGAGAGGAGGAAAATACTACAATGGCGTGCATTTGTGTGCGTCTGTGTTTAACGTAGTTCATTGTTTTAACCACTGGAATTTACTACTTGTATCTTGAAACAAGAACCTCCTTTCATCATCATCATCCTCTTTTGTCTTCTTCCTCTTCTCATCTTTCTCTTCCTTTTTCCTCTCCTTCCTCTTCCTCCTCCTCCCTCCTCCTTTCATTCATTTGTTCCTTTCTTCCTCCTTCCACCTCTATCACACTCCCTCCTTCCGTCCTTCCTTCCTTCCCCTCCTCCCCGGCCTTCTCTCTCTCTCTCTCTCTCTCTCTCTCTCTCTCTCTCTCTCTCTCTCTCTCTCTCTCTC